AATTATAAAATGATATATATATATATTGTCTAAAATAATGTAGAACAAAATTTATATATATAAATAATATATTTTTTTATAAGACAATGATAACATAACATAAATGAAACCCAGTTTTTCAACAATAAAAAAACTAATACAACAGAATATATATTTATATATATAGGATGAATATTCTCTATATTATATGAAAAAAACATTATTAAGCTTTTGCTCCTTATAATTAAAAAAAATAGTATAAAATATATAATAATTCATAAATCTTCAAAACACATATCGGCATATATAAAATTATAATAAAAATGTAAATTAAAAAAATATAAATTATTAAGTCTAAAACAAATATCTAAAAAGGATATTATAATTCTATCACTATATCTAGGAACAAGGAATCCAAAATATATATAAAATATCATAAAAATAAATTTAAATATAGAACAGTAAAATTAAATATAAAATACTAAAACTGAAACACTAAAACCTGAACTCTAAACAATAAACCTAAAACTAGAGCAATATAATATGTTCAGTGTTAAAAAATATTATAACAATTCTGAAATTTTTCAGAATTAATTATTAATATGTTTTTTTATAATAGCATGTGTGCTTTACAACCATATTATTAAATAAAATTTTATCTTATATAACGAAATACAATGTATCATATATATTACGCAATTATCAAAATTTGTACCTCGCATATACTTTAATATATTATCCAATATGAATTATTATTTATAATATATTTTTTAATGGCGGAAAAAATAACTGATTTCAGCAAATTATGTATAATAAAACAAGACAACTACATATTATATTACTAGAATTATTATCTTGTCTATAAAACATTAGTTAACTACTGATTTACGAATAATAAATCTATATAAATACTATCGTATAATATTTAAAAAATAATACTTATTCTTGTTTCAATATATAATGTTAATAATTTTTTTTTATTTATTATTATGTTAAGCATCGGACTAATCATTTTTTTATATGTTTATTTGCCTTAAGAAAATTATTACTTCAAATAGTATATTTAAATATATAATTATCGATAATTGTATGATATATTATATTCATTTTCTCTTGAAAAACTACTAGATATATCAGGAATTTCGAACATATTATTTTCTTCACCTAGGCTATCCCAATGATTTCTTTTCCATAATACCCCATGTCGCAACAATGAACCATATTTCGTGAACTGACTCATAAGGAAAATATGCATTAAAAATATTAGTGTATTAATTGTAATTCTTTTTCTTTTATATTATTTAGAAAAATAATTTCATATTAAAAATATATAGAAATAATATAATAATTAACCTTAAGTAAAACAAATATAAAAATTGATATTAATACTGCTACTACAAATGTAATCATAATAGGAACTATCGTGTTACTTTTGCAAGGTATTATTATTCTCGATTTCTTAATTTCGCTATATAGAGATTCTATTTTTTCATTATGTTTATTCATTATATCTACTACTTCTTTAAAAACGTTATCATTACTAGATGTATATTTAATTATTTTATTATACACATTATATACATCAATGATTTGGGGAAAATATATTTTTGTAATCGGATCCTCAAGATTTCTGCATATGTTATTATTACCAATTATTTTATATTTTTCAGTAAATATATCAAGTAATTCATTATGAACATCATTGACATGAACACTTATATCTTTGTCATGATTATGTAGCCGTTCATATATCCAATAATAAAGATAATCACAACCGGCTTCATTTAAACTTTTATTCATTCTCCCATTAACATCAACTAGGTATCGCATGGCTTGGGTACATATAATTTTTGATTTTTTTTCTTCAGGTATTAATTTATTTAATAAAAGTTTTTTTGCGTGTTCATCACATAAATCTTTCCAAGGGCCTCCTAATCCACTGATCCAGTCAGTAGAATATTCATCTACTTTGTTTTTACATTCAGGAAAATTTTTTAAAACATCATACTAAAACAAATATAAAAATTAAAAAATTTCAATGAATATATATTAATAATAGGCTATTATAATATATTTCGATAATTGAATGTGAAAATATAATAATGTTTTAATTTATAATATATAAGAATTCAAATTTACAATAGATTTCGCCATTTCACGTAAGGTTATAATATGTTAAAGGAAATATATATTAAATTATAAAATATATGAAAATGTATGTATCCTTCTTTATTATATAATAATCAAAGATGTTAAGTATCATAAAGCTATCCTTTTATATCTTTATGGAATTTTTGTTCATATATTACAGAACCACATAGTAAAACATTTTTATTCAGAGCATAACATATAGCTATAAGGATATTTTTTTATATATATTTCCTAAATTATTTTAATGCAAACATGAATATCAAAAATATGTTATTTGGAATGAATAAGTTTATAGAACGATAAAAATAACATTAAAGCTACTGTCCCTTATAAAAATTTTACAGTTTTACTAAAATCATAAAAAAAAAAAGCACATATATATTGCCCTAATAAATGTTATAAATTTTAATATATATATATTTTTTACAATTGATTATTTACTCTAGTTTTCACATAGGTATATTTAATTTAATTAAAAAAAAAAAAAAGAAGAATATTATTTTTCAGGATATAACAATTTAGTTTTTCTTATGTAATATATAATCGAAGATTAATAAAAGGAATTATATCACATTAATTGAATTCTTCATGAATACTGCAAAGAAAGTATATTATCTATTTATTTTTTATATCTTATTATATATGCTTAAAGTAAAAAAACAATATTACTTTATATAAGAACATATATATGCTGTTATAGTATTTACTTTTGTAGAGCGAATCAATATTTTGAAGAAAATAAATTATATAACATCATTATAAAAATAATGTAAAAAGTAATATTATATATATCTTGTGTATTATTATTCAATTTATATATCTCTAATACATTATTAGTTTTTCATCTTTGAACGTAAACTTTTATTTATATAATAATCTCATGAATCATACGATATATCTTCTATGTATTGAAATGTTAGTTTCCTATATTTATTCTCGATAACTGAAGAATAATTTATTTTTAACCATGTTTCTAACATTTTAGGTTTTCTAATTTTTTTGTTATTATACGGACTAATGTTATGCATTGTTAATACACAAAACTATTCTATTTCAATGAGGAAGAAAATAATATTTATATCAAATATTCCAATGATGAAAAAAAAATATTCAAAGTGTGAAATAGTTTGTAGAACTTTTTTTAGTGAAAGAGAGCAAATTGCATTTTCATTGTTTTTAACTCTTAATTTTTTTTTGATATTTATTTAAAAATAAGTATATATGACATATGTACATAAAAAATAATTACATGTCAATATAAATAGACATTTTCTGTAAATAGATTTATATTATTCTTTATATAAATTTTGTTTTTAGTAATAATTCATATTCATTTATTTATGTTATCATTGCTTAATTCATCTTACAATTATAGCTTATTTACAATAGATTACTTTAATAGTAATTTATATATTAACTTTTTGATTCTTTACAATAAAAAATACTATTTGAAACTGGAAAATATCATTTGAGATTTTATGTTATTTTTTGAGGCTCAGGGGGATATGTTTTAGGGATCAGCGTTTATATATGATATTTTAGATTTTATATATGGGAATGAATTAATTTATTAAGAGGTTTTATAATATTATAGTAACATGGATATTTCTATATAGTATTATCATAAATAAAATATATATTGCTATGATTTTTTTTAGTAGAACGTACAATTTTTATCTTATACATAACCATATGTTGAACCATAGTTTAAGATGCTATTAATAGGTAAGTGGTAAAATTCATTTTTTTATACATGTGACAAAAAACTCATTCCGGTAGCAGCTACTATATAATATTTTTTATGCAATGTCAGATTTTTTTCTATAGCCATTTCTAATTAAGTTATTTTTATATATAGTTTCGCATGAGCCCCATTTTAACGGTGTAGAGATAGCTAATTTTTTGTTGTATAACAAAATTATGACATCTACCATTTATATTTAAATTTTTTTTTTAGAATTGTTTTTCTTATCAAGTATACTACTTAAAAATTTATATTTATACAAGTATAATAATTTTTATTTATAGCATTTTTTTAAATTAATGTTTTCGGTTTTGTTAGAATACAATTATTTTTCGCTTGTTTTTATTTTTATGTTTGACTTATGATTATAGTCAGATAATAATTCTGTTAAAGCCGCTATTATACATTGTTAGAATAGTCGATCATTTCTTTATACATTTCCGCTGTGATAAAAACAGTTTTAGTAGTTATATGTACATCCTATTGATTATATGATTTTATTCTTTTTCACCTCAATATATTTCCTTAAGCAAATCTTTGATGTATATGTTCTCGGAATCATTATGTTCATGCATTTCTGAGGTTATCAATTAATATATTTTAGATTATACTCCATACTTTAATTATTTTTCACATATAATGTATTTTCTTTTGCATTATATTATTTCAGAAATATTATTATTATATGAAACTTTATTGCTACGGCATATAGATGCCACATTTTTTATAAATTTTTTTTATTTTTACATTTCATATAATGAATCTCGAATATATAATATTTTAATCCTTTATCTTAATTATTCTTCTATTTTTTTTTATATATTATGAAAATTCAATACATCTTTGTGATGTTCATCGAATGCATTTTCTTCAAATATATCAACATTATGTTCAAATTCAAATAAATATATTTAAAAATTATGAAATTACTACTGAATAATACAAAATTATTTTATATGATTGGCGCGAATAGATATAGCAGCCGTTAATATATTAATTTTTTTATTAAATTTATCATAACTTCTTATTAGTTTGACTAAGTAGTATGGAAAAGTAAGTTTTTTTATATGACTATAAACTCTCTGAAAGTATTATTCAGTATTGTTAAGGACATAACATTGCATTAATAAATTTGCGGATGCAAAATTTTTTATATTCATAAAGGTTATAAATTAATATGTTTAAAACCTTATTAGGGAGGTTTGAAAATAAATACATTAATCATATATACAATAATATTTTAGCGTATAATTATATTTTAGGGAAACATTGAAACAATTATATTTATTAAGTTTAGGGAATTTGTAATATTTACATACAATAATTTAATATAGTTGCTTTTAATTTAATTATTTCTTATATATCAAGGATTATATAAAAAAAAGTTCATGTTTAATTACATACTTATATATGGATCATAACTTATATATTCTTATTTTCCTACATAGACTATTAATATAGATAATGTAAAAATAATGTATTTTACTGCTTTTCTGGTGTTAATTATTCTTCTAAATCAAATATATATTAATAAAAAAGAAAATATATTATATAAATTGACATTAATACCATATACACGAATATGTTAATTTTATATTTATACATATTACACACTAGAATAAACTTATATTATTAAAGAATTTATTTAAGAATTGTTTTTCTAATTAACATAGATTTTATGTTATAAGGAAAACTTATAAATCAAATTTTAGTAAAGAACTTAAAATATAAAAAAAAACTAAAAAAAATTCTTGAATTTATAAAAAATAATTAGTAAAATTAAATATCTTAATTATATAGAACACAATAGTTTTTTTTTGAAATTTTTTCTTACTAATACACTCACTGCTATATATTTAAATACAAAATGTTAGATAGCACACATATGATTAATACTATAGAAACATATGTATAAAAGGTACTCAAAAAAAAATAAATGCTAAATATAACGGAATTATTATTTTAAAATTCATAAGCATATATTTATTATACAATATATATATTTCATGTAATAAAAACAGAGGCACAGAATTAATATATAAAATAATAGCATAAATGATGCAAAAAATTACACACAGCTATAGTACAACATTATATACAAAATAAATAACGCTATATACGAAAACTGAAGTAGCAGAAATACTCAGATAAATATTATTAATATTCAGAGAAAAACTATGATTGGGAGTCCATAATACATATAAATGACATAAAAGCATACATAAAATAAAAATGCTTAATACATATCTCATAAATAACAATATTATAAATATAAGGTAATTTATAATATATCCATACACAAATAACCATATTCCATAATATTCATTTTATTTTTAAATGGTTTTAATCTTTTATATTATGCAATTTTTATTAATATATAGATAATTACCTATATAAACATAATAGTTATCCATATACAAATATGTCATCCAGTAGAAATATCAAGCATTCATCTATTTTTCCAAAATATCCCCATTATCTCAGTTTAAAGAATTCTTTTTCTTATACTAAATGTATAATATCTACAATATATACAACTAGAACAACAAGGTAAAAAAAATAAGTCAAACAAATACGTACACCATACATTTGATGTATTTCCTTTTTAAATTTACTTTTTGTTATATTTGTAATATTTGCAATTTTATACATTTGTACAATCTGTTTAAATATTTTTTTTTCACTATAACAATCAATTTTTCCTAATACTATCCTTTTAGCATATCTATACTTATAACTTTTCATATAATAATTGAAATCGTTCGTTGTCCCTTTTTTTAGATTTTCAAATGTTTATATATCTTTTTTACCTTTTTTTCATTCATACTTTCAACTGAAGCATTTACATTTAACCCCTCTTGTTCACATTAATTCTCATTTTTATCATTTGCCAACAAAGGTTTAAAATTTATATTCAGAGGACTATCTGAATTATATTTCAATTCTAAGTATTTACCATAAATATTGCAAAATAAATATTATAATAGAATGGAATAAATAATATTATACTACAAGGTTATCATTTAAAGCACGTGGGAGAATGTAAAAATAATAATAGTAAAATTTACAATTATTGGTAAAAATAAATGACATACGACTTAATTATATGGTTGATATGTCCATATTAAAAAACAAAAGATAAGAATATTAAAAATAACAAAAAAATTTTAAGTTTTCTTTTACATTATATCTATTCAGTATTGTCATTTTTGTAGTAATAATAACAATAAAGTTAAGATAAAATTCAAAGTTTAACTTT